GTTAGAGTCAGTCACATGCCGACTCGCAAGCCCTTCGCATCGCCGCGAACCGAGGCTCGAGTAAGATATAAGCCAAAGAAAAACACTCATAGACATTACGTTAGCTCTGATAAATTCAATAAAGATATTTAATATGAACATAAAAATAAACACAATGCCTTATTATTGTGTGTATCGATTAATTTCCGGAATTTTTTTGGTGAAAATGAATGCTTGACTTAAATAAAATTGAAAGACAATGTCATTCAAAGTATTGTCCATCGCTAGCCACTACTTTTGTCCATATTTTAGTCAAAAGACGGAAATCGGGTCGAAATGATTCTTCGTCCTTTGAGGTTATGTATTCATCGACCCATTTTTTGACTATTCCATAAATAGAGAGCTGCCAATCAGGCACACGACGTTTAATCAATCCAAGTGGGTACAATTCGGAAAGGGCAATGTCCATTGACTATGCGGGGGAGGAAAAGATGTTTCTCTCCAACTGAGTTTATCTTATTCTGGACCAGGTGTGCAAAAAGTCAGAGAAAATGTGCTCCTCAAAAATGGCCATTTTTTGATTTCGGAATTTTTTTCGTTTCTTATACTTTCGAAATGGACTCAAATCGACTAATTATTATTGGTAGAGACCATTTCTATCATTACAGATAAGTTTCAGCATTTTTTGATGCACAGTATCTTTTCGATTGGACCGAATATTGAAAAAGTCCCCAAAATTGGGGGGTAGTTGCCCCCAGCCGATTTTTTATGGTTGGAATGAATCGATTTTTTTCTTTTTTGCTATAAGCTATTGAGACGGGTCCATTCTACTCTATCAGTGACAAGACTATGCTCGTATAACATTTTTATCCATTTTGTGGCATTATCATTTTTGCCCCCCGCGAATTATGGTTTTTTCTCCAACTTTCAAAGTTTTCCATCGTTGAAAAAAAAATATGATGCACACAAACAAATGATACACTTTTCACTGATTTTGACAGTATTTGAATAGGTCTTTCAAATGACGTATATGTCATTGATCTACTACAAGCACAAGCAAGTGGTGACACCTGTTGTCAGATTTCGGAAATTAATCGATACACCCAATATTTATCTCTCTCGAACAATGGTCAACGCACCGGTTGGCTCTGAAGGATGTGCTACTGACAGTGGCTATATGAAATAGCCTGAATTCGTGAAGTGGATGCGCCTTTTCATCAGCCGCAGTATTTCATCGATGGCGACACCAACGTTTTTGATCCTCGACAACCACACTTCACATCTCTCAATCGAAGCATTGAATTTAGACGCGGAAAATGACGTTACAATTTTATCGATTCCATCTCATTGCATTCACAAATTGCAACTATTTGACAAATCGGTTTACGGGCCAATGAAAATTCGTTATGCGGATAAATGTAATACTTGGATGAAATCAAATGCTGGCAAAGTACTTGAAATTCGCCACATCCCGGGATTATTATATGAGGTGTTGAACAAGTCACTTTCTGTTTTGCTTTAAATAATTTTCTATTCTTAGTTTAATTGTTGACAAATTTACTTCTAAATCAATTAAATTTGTATCACTGTTTGGTATTCTTTTAGTATAAAAATCGTTGAATGATATTATACAAGCATATAATTTAATGGTTCATATTTTGTGTAATCTGTGGCCCTGATAGCTCAGAAGGTAAGAGCAGCTGACTATCGTCCAAGGGGTCGTGGGTTCGGATCCCACTGAAAAACATAGGTCAGCTCTACCCCCCACTTTCCTACCTTAATCCATCACGGATATTCCCCCCCACAAATTCCCGACCACTCTCTTCTCAAAAATTCCCTCCCTCGAATTTACAGAAATTCAAAACCAGCGCAGTATCTGTAAGGCGTAAAGACGGCAAACCCGACGAACAGATGTAGGATACAATAGGCCAATCACCCGTTTATCTGAAACCAATCGATTACGAGAAACCAAAGGATAAGAATAAACCATCATCAGCCCATACAACCGGCAACGACTATCGCACTCAAACAACGGACACGCATCGCTCAATGAAATATACGCACCCTAACCGAAGACACACGATTAGTGCAACTAGAACAACATACAGTGAATATAAAACTGAATTTTTTTTTTGAACATTGATCAATAGTCGAGTGATTATATTTTTTGTAAAAGTTATTAAAAATGGGAAAAGAATTCGAATTTGAAAAGCTTCGAGGCAGTGATAACTATAACAACTGGTGCTTTGCCATGGAACATTTTCTTGCGCTCAAGGAAATGAGCAACTGCATCAAGTCTAGACAAGCAGTAGTTGGAACTAGCACTGTGACAGCGGTTCAAGCAGATCCGAATGTACCACAAGAAACAAGTGCTATGAAATTGGTAGGCGCAAAAGCATATCTCGTATTGGGCGTTGAAACTAGTATATATGTTCACATCAAGAAATGCGAGACGGCATAAGCAATCTGAAATACATTGAAAAGAATGTATGAGGATAAAGGCATGACTCGAATGGCCGGATTGCTAAAGAATATGATCTCGATAAGACTCGAGGAATGTGAAAATATACAAGAATACGTAGATAAAGTGGCGTCGGTGGTAAACAAGCTCAATGCAATTGGTTTTGAAATAAACGATACTTGGCTTGGAGCTATTCTGTTAGGTGGATTAACAGAAAATTTTCGTCCGTTTATTATAGCAATTGAAGCCTATATGGCACTACGATTTCGAGTGATTTCGTTATCACTAAATTGTTGGATCAAAATCAGAGCACTACCGGAAATGGAAATGCATTTTTTGGTAAGAGAGATAGTAGATTTGGTGCCTACAAAAAGAAGAACAGTCAACGTAAATGCTTTAACTGCGATTCATCTTCGCATTTGGCCAAGGCATGTGATAAACCAAAAAAGAATAAACGAGAAAGAGAAGTCAAAGTGGCATTCATGATGGGTTTATGGACAGTGGTGCTTCAAGTCACATGTCATCTTATAAGGAATGCGTGAACGAAAACGAAAAAGTGCTAGAAAGACAAATAACAACAGCAAATGGTGAAAAAATAGCTGTGAAAGCAAGAGGCGATTGTGTGCTTAATATCGACGATAAAGATATATATGTAAAAAATGTTTTGCGCGTGCCGGATCTTGCTGTTAATTTGTTGTCAGTGAGTAAAATTGTCAAGGAAGGTAATTCAGTTGTATTTAATGCTGATGGATGCACTGTTTATAACAAAAACAATAAAAAAGTTGCTTTTTGCAAAGAAACTGATGGTGTGCACAAAATGATTGGAAAACCGATAAAAAATGAAGCGTGTATGATTTCAAGTGAAAATGAAAGTTCAGCGATCATGTGGCATAAGCGTCTTGGCCACATGAGCTATGGTAACATGATAAAAATGCGCAACGGAACCACAATTGGTGTAAAGTTCAATGACGATGATAAAAACAAAATGTTGAATTGCAAAACATGCGCAATTGGTAAATTTGCACGATTGCCGTTTACAAGGTCAGAAACTGACACGAGCGATTGTTTGCAACTCGTGCATAGTGACTTAATGGGACCCATGGAAACCCAATCTGTTGGCAAATCGAAATATGTAATAACATTTATCGACGATTTTTCTAAAAAAGTGGTCTGCTAATTTCTCAATAAAAAAGAACAAGCCTTTGAAACGTTCATTGAATTTAAGAATATGGTTGAACTCCAAACTGAAAAAAAAAATAAAAATACTCCGCACCGATAATGGTGGGGAGTATGTCCCAACCAAATTCATTGAATTTTTAAAAAAGGCTGGTATACAGCACCAGTAGAATGGTGTGGCAGAAAGATTTAATAGGACGATTGTCGAAAAAACTAAATGTTTATTGACAGAGGCCATTAGAATTAGATGACAAAGCGATAAAAATGACATTCGTCGGTTATGATCCAAACACTAAAGGCTATCGTTGCACTGATACAAATACAAGAAAAATAATAGTAAACAGAGATGTGCGATTCATTGAAACAAAAGTCAACTGTATGCAGGTGAATGATGATGATATGTTTGAGCATGTATCTGTTGAAAGTGAACAATCAGTGAATAACGGTGAAAATTCGATTTTAGAAACGAGTAACATTTCGGTAACGAATGAGGTGAATAATGACTGTGCGAAGATACGCACAAAGAGTAACGAATCAGTCGAAAAATCGTATGGTCACTAGATATAAAAACGTATGAGCGCACGTACCAGTCTGTTTTGCGTATAGCGTCGGCTGATATTTTCTTACTGTGAAATTGCGCGAATTTGGTTTGATAAAGGCGAAAATGGACCCATGCGTGTATCATGATGGTAATTCAGAATTAATTATTGCTATTTACGTTGACGATTTTCTCATTTTTTATAAATAAAAAAGCAAACTCCAAACAATTCAGCGATTATTGTGCAAAAATTTCAAAATGAAAGACATGGGGCCAGCGAGAGGATGCATTGGATTACGCATTATACAAACAAAAACAGGCGTTCATTTGGACCAAAGAACTTACACGATGGAGATATTAAAACGTTTTGGCATGGAGGACTGTGCACCAATCGGAACACCATGTGATATTAGCATAAAACTATGTGCTGATATGGGCGTATCAAATGACGATGCAGATGAATTGAGCAAAATTCCATATCAAGAGGCCGTAGGGAGTCTTTTGTATTTGGCGCAGGGCTCAAGACCAGACATTCAATTCGCTGTTAACAGCGTAAGCAGGTTTAACGGCAATTATCAAATGGCTCATTGGAAAGCGGTCAAAAGAATATTCAGGTATCTTAAAAATACGCTCAACTATCGTTTGTCATTTACAGGAGAATTAGTTGAATATTCAGACGCGGACTGGGCATCAGACGCAGAAGATCGACGTTCTTGCGCGGGCTATGTTTTTCTATATTGTAATGCTGCGATTACCTGGTACAGTAGTCGACAGAAAACGATCGCACTTTCCAGCACCGAGGCCGAATATATGGCATTGTCGGCTACCGTTCAAGAGGCAATATGGCTGGGGCAACTCTATTCGGAACTTACTGGAAAGGAGAAAAAATCAACTGTCATTCATTGCGATAATACAAGCACCGGAAAGCTGGCGAAATCTGACGGATTTAGTAAACGAACAAAGCATATAGACATCAAATATCATTATGTTCGCGAAAAAATTCAAGACCAAACAATCATGGTTCAATACTTGAATACCGAAAAAATGGTTGCTGATGGATTAACCAAACTCGTCAGCAAAGAAAAGACGATTTTTTGTGCTTGTGCAAAACTTTTTGGTTTATGCTTATCAGGGGGCAACGAAAAAAAAAACTGAACCTTGATACAGGCACATTTTTTTTCACATTTCTTTCTCAATTTTTTTTTTTACATTTCTGTCAATTAATCATTTTTTTGACCATATAAATATTGAGTAAATTTAATACAATAAAGCGATAGAGCTTTAACCATTGAAAGAAGCACATCGTAAAGTCAAAATAAAAAAAAATGGGTTGATTATTTGGATCGGATGAAGAAGAAATGGAGGTGAACACAAAAACAGTTGACAGCAACGGAAATATCAACAACAAGAAGCAAGAGATACACATCAGCAGATGTTATTGAATGAGAAATTATTAATAGCGACCTTTGTGCTGATAAACGCTGCACCAAATGGACAATAATTTTTTGATTTAATTTTCTCGCTCTCAGAAAAATATGCACTAATAATCAAAATCAAATAAATTTCTTTTCTTCAACAAATTTATTTTTGCCAGCTAAACTTCGAAACAACAATGGAATGTTAATAGCAACGCGAACACGAGAAACAACAACAACGTCCAGTAATCAATTTTTTCTTTTTTTTATATACAAGTGAATTTTAATTGTATTTTTTTTCTTTTAAAACTGTAATGTTTTTTTCGTTTTTTTTTGGTTGTTTCAAATTTGATAGCAATTTTTTTTATTTTTGGTTTTTAAAATGAAATTTAATTGTTTATTTCAAAACTTAACATGTTTGCAATTATTGTTAGAAATTCATAATTAAGCATTTTTTTTGTTGTATTGATTAAATTCCCAATTAAGTCAATGGGGGAGTATATATAAAAAAAAGAGTACGTTATAAGTGCAATGTTTTGAGATAGCAATTTTCCCAATTTTTGGCTTTAAAATGAATTTCAATTGTTTTTTCAAAATTTAATATGTTTGCATTTATTGTTGAGGTTCATAATTAAGTATTTTTTTGTTGTATTGATTGAATTCCCAATTAAATCAATAAGGGAGTATGTTAAAAAAAAACTACATGAATGTAATATATATGAACACAATTACGAATATTAAAGTTAGTTCTTTTCCGACCACCTAAAACGACGGTTGTTTCATTTATTCTTCACAGAAACAGCTCAACATCATTTGTCCAGATCAAATCAAGCATACGACCATTTTGGTTGTACGTTGTAGCACTTGTTTATCTGAAGAATACCAATATCATAGCAAGTATCCAGCACTATCTTCTCTTTTTCACTGGCTGCATTGATAGCTATTGCTATGTCATCTTCGTCAACAAACCAAACCAATTTGGGCAGATTGAAGTCGCCGGAAACTACTAAAACATCACATATACTCAACTTCGATGCGATTTCTCTCAAGGCATTCATGTTGTTTTCGTATACCTTGAGTGTTGAGTCTGGCCGAATATATAATTCTACCAAAATGATGTTTCGTTTTTGACCAGATACTTTTACCCAAATCTGTTTCGCACCGAACTGGTCACCCGTTCCGATGCTGATCGACTTCAATTTGTTGTCAACAGCAATCATGACACCTCCTCCATTCTCCTTGCGATGAACTTGGTCCCTCTCAGTGTTTGGTGACCGATCACAACGATATACTTCATACATCTGCGGAAACAAGTCTGTTGAAGTGATGGCGCTATTCAGATGAGTCTCCCTCAGCATGTAAATTGGTGAATGTTGTACAAGAACTTCAGCCACAAACTCCGGTATTTTTGATTTTAATCTATTTACATTTTGCGAATGGATAGTCAGCTGTCTTGAATATTTTTTATCGTTTAAATTGTGCGTAGTACTCATTTCTGAGTTACCTCTCTTGATTTCCATCAATGAAAAATTAGCAGCCGAGTTTGTTGTGGCATCAAATATTGGTTTCTGGTTTGCCAGCGCTGAGCCGGCGGCCGAAAACCCCTCCGAACACGTTGAAAATCAGCAAAACTTTTCTCGAATTCAATAAAACAAGAGCGGCAATCACCCGGTGTCAAATGGATTGGAGCCGACGATGGCAATTATTATCTGCCAATGAATGTGTCGACAGAAGGTGGCATTGCTGTTTTTGACACAATGTACGACTGTGGATTCCACCAACTTTCAAATATCGTGAATCGAGCCGGCAATGTTTTGGATTTGGTATTCACAAACAAATTCTATGAGATGTCGTTGATTGAATCAATAAGACCATTGGTAAGATCTGACATCTGGCACAAGGCAATTGAAGTCGAAGTGACAATTGATGGAAATGACCCCACAACACCGCAGGCATCGGAAATATATGCATACAATTCGGCCGATTTCGATGCAATGAACGAATTTTTCGTTACAAATGACATTTTATTGGGGATAAATCGAATTGTTGAACTCGAGAATGCATTCCATTTATTTGGCAATGTTCTACATGAGGCAATAGACTCATTTATTCCAAAGATCACTGTTCAAAAAAGCACCGATCCACCATGGTACACGAAACATCTGAAGCACATGAAAAATGTCAGGAGAAAAACCAAGTCCCACTTACATTTGACTTTTTGAAAAAAGCTCTACTACTGGCACCATCTTTTTACACAAAATCTAAGTTATAGATTTGTTTGTGTATTTCTCAATTGTAATTTAATAAATTGTTCAATTTTTTTAAAAACATTTAAGTAATAAATAATTTTTAAAATGATATTCAATTTAAAACACAATAAAATAAAATAAAATAGAAACAAAACAATACACAAGAGAGAGAAAACAGTGGAATGAAAACAATCAATGTTGTCACTCACACGAACGTTTTTCTACACGAACAGTAGAATGACAAAAACCGAAATGAAGTGCACATGTATTCGCATGTATTTGAATATTGATTGTTGGGCGTCGCTACATACATGCACAATGCGCATAAGCAAACGAATCAACGTTAAGAATTTTGAACATGTGATCCAATGAGAGCAATGTTATTCGCACAAATACATGAGCATTTCACTTTGGTTTATGTCATCACATATACCGGCTGTCAACGATGAGCATGTAAACAAATTGTCATTTTGTATGGTACTATGTTTTGAGATTTTATATTAAATTAAATTTTTTTCATCAATAAAATTGCTAAGTGTGCTCGATTAATTTTAAGTGAAATTTGCAATCAGATTTTAAATGCTACGAAATTTCACGTCGAAAGAAATACATGCTCTACGCTATGTGTATATATTTATATAATTTTTTTTGTAATGAAGAGAAGACCGAATAAAAAGGCGTTTCATATGACTTAAATTGGCGGTAGTAAACCATAAATATGTATATAATAACTGTTGTGACTTCTATAATTCTTCTCTTTGATTTTGTTGACATTTTTTATTACCAGTTATTAAATTACAATTCAACGCAACTAAAATGAATGTAAATATGCGATTTCTCTCAAACTTGAGAAATACACAAAAACTTTTATTACTTCAACGTCGTGTATAGAGATGGCGCCACGTTGAGCGGAGTTCGGCAGAATAACACAGAAGCCCATATAATGCTAGTCAGGGTTGAGAAAAACATACAAACGAGCAAGAGAGACTGGCAATTTCGACGAATACAATACCATCACGGATTCGTTTATGCAATTGCAAAGTCAACTATTTCACTCGTACATTAGCCGCATACAATCACAAATAAGGTCGAATCCAAAACATTTTTGGCGCTTTGTGAACGACAGAAGAAAGGGAAGTGATATTCTGGCCACAGTTGAATACAACAATGAGACTGCAAACACCGACACATCGAAAGCGGAATTATTCGCTGATTTTATTCGAAAATCAGTACACACGAAGTGAAATTATCGACTTGGATCAATTGCTGAATGAATGTGGAGAAGTATCATTTGACATTGATATCACTGAAGCCGACGTCTTGAAGGCAGTGAAATCCATCAACGCGAACAAAGGAGCCGGCCCAGATGGAATATCACCGAAAGTGTTAAAGAATTGCGCACACTCATTGTCGAAACCGATAAAAATCCACCATAATCAGCATGGATTCGTGAAAAATCGATCAACCTCAACAAATTTACTCCAAATGGTAAATTTCACGATGGACTCAATGGTCAAAAAATGTCAAACAGATGTGCTGTACACCGATTTTGAGAAAGCCTTCGATCGTTAGAACCACAAGAAATTGTTGCAGAAGCTGGTAGGATTCGGATTCGGACGACAGCTTGTCAAATGGATACATGGTTATTTGACAGAACGAACACAGTCTGTTGGAATCGGTGAAAGAAGGTCACGGACCTTCACTGTGTCATCTGCTGTACCAGCGGGAAGTATTTTGGGACCTTGTCTTTTTATTGTTTTTATTAATGACATTCTCGAAATAGTATCAAATGCACTTGTTTTATTGTTCGCAGATGATCTAAAATTGATCCGTACCATACAATCGCCTATAGATGCCATCATTTTTCAGAATGCCATAAATCAGTTGAGTGAATGGTGTACTGAGAATAGTCTGCATTTGAACTTGAAGAAATGTTTCGTTATGACATACTCAAAAGGCGGAAATATAGTCAACTATGATTATGTGATCAATAACGGCCAACATACATTTGAACGGATTAACTTACACAAGGATCTGGGTGTTGTATTTGACACGAAGCTTACATTTGTCAATCACATCGACGCGATTACAGCCAGTGCACATGGGGCAATGGGATTTATCAAACGGACATTGAAGAGTAAATTCACGATTGAATCTGCAAAAATGTTATACTGCGCGCTCTGAAAAAATCTCTTGCATAAATTAAAATAGCAGTTTCCAGATATTTAAAATTTCGAGGACAAAATGACTCTTAAAAAATTCGAGGATACCTCAAATCGAAAATCGAGGACTTGAGTTTAGGTCCAGGCATTTGTCCGGACCTGCCCTTATGTGGCTACGCCCCTGAAAAAACCACACTAATGGCTCACTTCTTAAAATATGACATTTCCATGATAAAAGGACCATCTTTTCAACTTCACAAAAAGACACTAAATTAATTATTTCTCGTTTATTTTTGGATGTATGTTATATGCGAAGCTCCAAAATACTTGAAACGTGCAACAATTGGTTGGATGGACTGAGAGAAAGTTGAAAGAAATCGACAAATCGGTTGTCCAGAACATAATTTTGATGGACCGACGCATACTGAGAAAAATCTAAGATAATGGTCCGTTCAGTGTGAAGTGAATGTGCTATTCGATAGCCTATGAATAAAGGTTTATACCAATAAAAACGAATTTAATATTGTGTGTTTGTTGTTCAAATGGCAACGTCTGAATTTATTCCAAAGACTTTCTATACACATGTTACCTATGTTTAAAAATTTATTTTATTCTAAACAGATTAAAAATTTTAAAAATAATTCAGTTTTCGAAATATCATAGAATTTTCAAACATTATTTTCATTTCAAATCTACTAGTAGCATAAAGTTGGTTATGGATAATTCGCTCGAACAGCTGTTTTTCGACATTTTGTTTTGTTTGTGTGTGAGTAAAAGAGTGAAAGAAACTGCGTTAGGGACTTTATAAAGGCATTTGACATTACCTCTTTCTTCAAATTTTCAGAATGTTCTTTTTTTATGAAAAAAATAGTCTGTGTAAAGTTTCACGTCATTAAGGTAGCATACAGGCATGGCTCCCGTATATAAATTCAAAATTTCTGTGATTTTTTCAAAGAAACTGTATTAAAAATTGATTGTATCTCAAAACTAACATCGGATTCAGTTTTCTCGTCCTAAAAAACCCACCACCCAATACATATTTTTGAGTGTTTAAGTAATACTTAATAAGTATACATAAAGTATGACTTTTGGACGGTATGGTTCATAGGTAGCAGATATGAAATTTTTATCTATCAACCAAAGTCGCTCAAAATCTAATGATTTCTATTCCTCGCGACCCAGAATCATCCTCTATAGTCAGATAAATAACTTTTCTGGGGGATGAGTTATCGTGTTAATAAATTTTGCGTACGGCGGACGACGTACCACGTGGAAGCAACTCACAATAGCCATGCCCAAAACGGCTTGATTCGAGTTCTCTGACCTCAGAAACTTCCGAAAAACATGTTTTTGAGATGTCGTAAATGTTGACCCATTGCAGAACTTTCCCCTTAAACACTAGGTATGTGCGAAAAAGTAAAACTATATTGAACCGTTTTCGAGAAAATGACCTTTATGTGTCCGGAAAGAAGGTCAATTTTAGGTTTTTGGGCAATTTGGCCACCCCACATTGAAATTTTTGAACCAAAAATGATACCATTTGATAGCTCACTGGTGAAATCAGAATGAAAAAAATCGCATTCCATATCATCTAAATTCTTCAAGACCTTTCCAACGATGTGCATATGTCCGAGGTGTGTCAAGTGAAAGTGCCTCGGCGACCGTAAGGTCAAAAGTAAAAAAGTGACCTTAAGAAGCCGGCCACAGCCAACATGGCGGCCAAATCGAAAAGTGCCCGAAAAATTGATTTTGATGTTACGAATAGAAAAAATTGGTTCTGATGTTACGAGTTAAAAAAAGACTAATTTTTACGCTTTTTGAGAAGAGATCGATCAGAAAAGTCGTGAAAAACACTTCAACATGAATTGGAATGTAAATCAAATGTCAACATATAAGGTTATTCAATGGGTACCATATAGGAAGTTTATATGAAACTCTCGGTGACTCGGTATAGAGCACTCCCAAAGTGAAAAAGATTCAGATCGTGATTTGGATGATAAGGAATGTGGTTTTTTTTCATTCTGATTTCACCACGTGATACAGAAAGTTGAGTACGTAGTATTTGAGAATTGAAGAAAAAAATTAATTATTTTGTTCATCTTTCACGACTTTTTACCATTTACATACACTACCGGTCAAAATTAAGGAAACCCTCAATAAAAAAATAACTTTTTTCGATCTTGAAATTTTTTTTACTTTTGATCCAATCCAAATAATTTTAGACATGTTATTTCCTAGCCTCAAGTGCGAAAAAAATATCTAGACTTCATATCAAAATCTAAGGCGGTTTCAAAATGGCGGCCGTCCGTACTTGATCTTGAGACTTTGCAGTTTAAGTCTACTTAATGTATTGATAAAACATGCCAACATTTATTTGAATTCAATATTTTGCGAATTTTATAAAATTATTTACAACGTGAAATAAAACAACACACTTTGGCAGATGTCAAACTCTCCCCCATATGCACTACTCAAGATCAACATAATAATATTGCAATTATTTGTAGTCCGAAAATATTTATTTATTTTTTTAAACTGAAAACCGTTTGAAAAAAACTCACCTTCAAAATGGCGTCACCTACATACAGTTGTCCCGTTATATCGGCAGCTTGATATTTGTAAATCTTGGATATAAGAACTATTAGTAAAAAAAAACAAGAAAAACATTATTTCTATAGATAAGTGGTAACTGTTTTCGTGGTTTTGGATATTGGTGGGTGTCTTTTTATAGATATAATGTGGGATATATCTATTGAGAATATCTATTGAGAGTATGTCATTTTTGAGCTGAAAATATTTCAAAACGAGAGTATGTCTTTGGGTGATTGTGTTAATTGCAAAACATAAAAAAATATAAAGGAGAGTATGTATTTTGAGATATTTAGTTTTTCCATATATTTTTTTAGTGTTTGTTTTTCTTGAAAAAACGAGGACATTTCGTGTTCAAAAAAAATTCATCGTCAATATTACATAATTTTTTAATCTAATGATGAAATCGGGGTCAAAAAAATCAGAAGAGCTTAAGAAAAAGTTAAAAAAAATCGCCAAAATGTTGACATTTTTGGCTTTTCTTTTCAATATGTTAAGAAATGTTCGTATATGATACGTAAATACGAAAGACACGAATTGAATTTTTGTATTAGTTTTATTACAATTGGGTTATATATCACCCAACTTGGTACACGAACCAGGAAAGTATATGGGTAATCCAAGGGTTAAATATGTTTACTTAGCAAAGGATTTTAATGAACTGGTTGGTTCAAATACTGACATGTTTTCAAAAAATATGGCTCGTTCCGCTTACAAATTTTCTTGTTCCTCAATGCGTAACCGTTTAATGTCACAATATGAAAAATAAATATATGGTTAAAATTGGTTGATCTGAGAGTTTTGATCTGATTTAAATTCATATCTCAAATATTAACAAAGTGAAAAGTTTACAAGAAAATTTGAGAGACACTGTATTTTTGGTGTCTTCCATCCTAGCGCAGTGTAGTATTTTAGTACTGGTGGCACCATCACATTTACAGTACTTTTGGCAACACTGTTATTAGTGTTTTGACATTTCATGAAATGTGACATTAATGTTTGTTGATATGAACCGTGTTTGAGTTTTTGAAATTCTAATTTATTATTGTGAGTTTTTATATGTATTTTATTATTATGATAAAATAACAGTGAAAAAAATGTGTGAAAACATATGTAAGTGTTGAAAATTTCAAAAAGACAAGTGTAAATTTCTTGAATTGAATTGGTAAAATTCATTAAGCGTCATTAAGTTCAATATTTTTAAAAAATATTATTGAGTTTTCCTCAGAATTATTGAAAGTTAGTTATCCGTTCTGTCGATTACGGTCGAGTAAATACACTTGTGCCACCGCTAGCACATTTTTGTTCCAGCCGTAACACATTTACACACTCACATTGCACCGCTCACAGATACTCATAACAAACACATGTAGTAAAAAGAAATATATTTTTGACTGACTCCTTAAAGAACAACGCACCTTGTAAATAATAAGAAATTTTACCAATTCAATTCAAGAAATTTAAACTAATTTTTTTGAAATTTTCAATACTTACATATGTTTTCACACATTTTTTTCACTGTTATTTTATCATAATAATAAAATATATATCAAACTCACAATAATAAATTAGAATTTCATCACTTTATTTCAAAAACTCAAACACGGTTCAAATGAACGAACATTAATGTCACATTTCATGAAATGTCAAAACACTACGAACAGTGTTGCCAAAAGTTCTGTAAATTTGATGGGCACGTAGTTCCATTACGCGCCCTCCACTGCACCGCTACGGTGTCTTCAAATTCTTAAACAATGTCCTCGTCTTTTCCCAAAATTTTTCAAACCATCTCGGAAATTTTTTAAGTTACGCTACTGTCTCCTTGTATTATTTGAATGAAAATTAATTTCTCGAATAGCAATAAAATGTAACTTACTGGGCAGTTTGTGTTCGGCCCCGCCTTTTATACTCAAACCTAAGCCGCTTTTTTTGTCACGCCTTACTTGCACCATCCGTTCCTATTTAAAAATCATATTTATGTTGTATTCTAATAAGGAATTTTTAAATCAAAGTTAATTTCTTTGAAGAAATCACAAAAAAGGTGGGAAGCTAATGAATTTTTTGAATGAAAGAAAAATCATAATTTTTCCAACTGCGGATCGGATGCGGACACAATTACATTTTATGAGGGATCCTACTCATATTTTGGCTGAAAATATCTTGAGAATCCATTTCTGGTATTTTTCGCATTTTTGCACGGGAAGTGTATTCAAATTTCATGGAATATTAAAAATAAAACTCAAAATCGGGTTCCTTGTACCGAAAAACTCCCTAATAAAAATTTTTGCAAAAAAGAAGTTTTCCCAGAATGAAAACCATAAAAAAAATGTCTAAGAAAACTTGAGCCAACCGAGAAAAACAATCATCACCATTGGATTCATTGGCCCCGAATTAGGTAGGAATGACTAGTCCCATATTTGTCGTTGAAAGTTACAAAAAACTAGGACGGTGGTTTTTACCTCTGAATTAATTGATAAGATGGCTGATGGTGTTGATGAATCTAGACGCTGCAAAATTAATAGCTCCATCGTCAACTTCAAGCGACTCAAAACGGGATTACTCTTTCCATCACTGACATTTACCATGCCCACTCTTATCTATCATGATTAATGAAAACAATCAATTCATGAATTTCGACAATCTATTCAATTCCTTTAAATTATCACAATCATTTTTTAAGAAGACTTTAAAATTCTAATAAATAAAAATAAATAATAATAATTAATACCTTTAAATTTTGCTCTAGCATTTCCTCAATCGGTGTAGCCATTTTTGGTGTGTTGATCTTCATTATCTAAAACATATTTCATTTATCTATTAAATTTCTTTTAAAATTTAATTTAGTTTTTCATTTAATTTCAATGTTTTGTTGTGTAAATTCTTTCAACACTAATCTAAGTCACATATTCAAAGCGTACATGCCTTCTACGAACAACTCATTTTGGACTAAACTAGATCGATTATTTTTTTTAAACAATAATAACTGCAACGAACAGCGTTCCTTCGCCTTGGTGGTTTATTTACCAGTAAAGGTATCGAAGTATTGAAAAAAGTGTTAAAGAAGAAACTGGAAAGTAGTAATAGTTAAGGCGACACTAGCAAGTTTGAATTTTAATTGTAGTACCACACTGTACCACACTGTACCACACTGTAAAGCTGAATGGATATATTTAATAAAAAATCCAAAAGGATTAAATTCTAATCCCGAATATATAGAAAAAATCCCCAATTAGAATATTAAAACAATACTTAAAAATACGTTTAATGTGTACATCACAGCGACGAAGCGGGTGAGTGCGCGCATGTATTGGAGTTTTCACTATTTGGTCAATATATTTTACTCTGTTGTGATGCTTGTGTATATGTATTGTTTCGGCTACAACTGACAGTTCTCTTTTGCACTGTACTTGTGTATATGTTTTGCTCCGTGAAATTGATGACAACTAACAAAATGAATTCAAACCATTTATTTTAAGTATTGTTTTAATATTCTAATTGGGGATTTATTTAGCAACTATTTATGCACACATCACAAAAAGATTTATCAAAAATAATTTTAAGAATTTTATTTTTTTCAAGTTTTTCGAAATGTTGTAATCAAAAAGTGCGAAATAAGAATAGACGCAGTCACTGTTTTGCTTCTAATAAACAATGTTGTCTACATTTTTATGATGTGTGTTGATGTGATTTACCGTTATGCACCGTCTAGAGTCGGTGCATGCAATTTCACCACCCAGTACAAATCCGTCGAACAAGTCGACGACAGCGATTTGACAGGTGAACCACGCGAGAAACTTATCAATCCCTATTAACAAAACTACACTTGACAGTTATTGTATTGAATTTTGTACGGGATTTATTTATTATATAAGGAAAGACCGTGTAAAGTGGGCATAATTTTGTTTTTTGGCCAAAAAATTTTCAAATATAAAAATATCGAAGAATATGATATACCGCTGGAAAGGTATTGTTTTGGGCAACAGCTTTGCAGAAGAAAGGAATTTGATATAGCTTCAAACAAAAAAATTTGTAGCGTTTTTTTAGACACATGATTTTTGGCAAAAAAAAATTTCACCGTGTAAAGTAAGCAGCCGCTAAAAAGTTTTGAAAATTACTGGAAAAGTGGAAAAATGTAATTAAAACACCAAAATATTTTTGTTTATTGCGTGTTTATTTATTCAAATTATTTTTTATAAAAAATGCCAATTATTTCGAGTCAAAATCTAAATCTAAATCACAATTTTTGCACACAAACATACTTACTCCGTTCAAATCAACACATTTCAAGTGAGCAAGTTCTTTGCACACGTTGCACTTGATCGAGTTGAACCTGGTCAATGGCTCCTGCATCGGTTCGCCGCAAACCATACACACATCTTCTTCAGTTGTTGATGATTCAGCGGATTTTCGCTTTTTTGCCCGTTTTGAGGGTGGTTTCTTTGAAGATGATTTTTAGGGCTTTGATTTCTTTGGATTGTTCGAATCATCGCGCTTCCCTTTTCGCTCCTTCAAAACTGAGATGGATTCAGGCGAAGTCAGAATGGTGCTTTGCATCGCACGTCGGCCCTGATTTGATTTCTTAGTTGCTGGCTGCATTGTACCGATCGAGGAAAGCACCGAAGAATGGCTAGTCGCATGAGAGAGATTAAAAGTGGATGGCGTTTCAGAATTCGAAACCTCTTCGTTATTCTGAACATTTTCAACAAATACAATTCGCCGCTTTTCATTAAGAACCTCTTCGTTTCCAGTTGAAGTGGGATCCACACTTTCCTCATTCATACCCGGCTGAATGAATTCCGATTCATCGAACACATCTCGATTGAATGGGTAATGCCTGCTTTTTGAAATCCAATCTTGATATTATGTGGCGAAAGTGTCTTGTCCAACACCTCGGATAATAAGCCCGGGATGTGGCAAATTTCAAGTACTTTGCCAGCATTTGATTTCATCAAAGAATTACATTTATCCGCATAACGAAATTTCATTCATGGCCCGTAAACCGATATGTCCAATGGTTGCAATTTGTGGTTGCAATGAGGTGGAATCGATAAAAGTGTAACGCCATTTTCCGCGGCCAAATTCAATGCTTGGATTGAGAGATGTGAAGTGTGGTTGTCGAGGATCAACAACGTTGGTGTCGCCATCGATGAATTACTGAATGAAAGGGCGCATCCACTTCACGAATTCAGAATATTTCATATAGCCACTGTCAGTAGCACATCCTTCAGAGCCAACCGGTGCGTTGTCCATAAAACAAGACTGCATATTTATTTTTTCGGGGAAATATGAAAAAAGGCGGAATAAATCCACCCTCCGCATTCACAGCAAGAGCCATTGATACTAAGGTTCCGCGCTCTTGTGAAGGAATCTGACCAACTTTTTTGGAGTTTTTTGTGAGAATTTTATACGATCTCTAATACAGTAGCTTTTTTATATGAAATCTGTCACACTAATGCCCTCACTCTATCTTTTGGCGAACTAAACAGAATAAAGTTTAATATAAAAGTAAAGTCTCCATCAGGATATTTTATACAGCCGGTGTCAAGATCAATAAAACTGTTAATAGAATCTGCCATTTTTACGCAATTTTGCGATGTGATTGCCAAATTAAGAATATAAATAAAATAAATGAACGGAATAAACGAACTTAACAGAACAGAATAATTCGCACGAGTGTATGACAAGTATGTAAGAGAACAATAACATTACGTTTTGTATCTATCTGTCAAATGTCACAACTCACACTTATGAGTTTACGTATGGAGATTTTAACAAAATCATTTCTACAAGATCTACGCACTCTACACCCGAGGCTTTTTAAGTTAAATTAAAACGCATATAAATTTATGTTTTTTTAAATAGAAATTATCTAATGCTAATTGTGCTAACTTCACTTTCAAAACAAAAAAATGAAACAATTTATTAAATTATTTTTCAACAATTTTTGGAATAACATATGCGCTCATTCTCAAACTTGTGAAATAATATCCCATTCTATATATAGATGGCACTGTCTATACGAAGTTGGGCAAACAAAGCATTACGCTTAGCATTACACCTCTTGAATTTTATAGAAAACATTCGAAAAATTAAGAATATTCTAGAACATTTCCCAAAGACCACGAATAATCATCCAAATGAGTCCATAGAATGTTATAGAATATTGTGAAACAAAATTATTAATTGCTCACTTTACGCGGTATCGAGCTGCTCACTTTACACGGATGACACCATTTTTTTTGTTTAAATGTTCGGATTCAGTCTGTACATCAAAATTCATGAAAAATACAATTAATTGAATATATTAAGCTTGAAAATGCGTTGAAAATTGATGGCTTTATGCAGATTTCAAAAAATCAAGCTATTACTTTTTCCATAATTTCTCAACGTGATGTTTGGTAGAGATACAAGAAATTCATGTTTGCGCTTCAGTATTTTATGAAAAGAGTGGTATGGATGAGACAAACATTTGACGTATAAGCGCTTGTTATTCCAACTCAATATACAAAAAAAAATTGCGAGTGCTCACTTTGCACGGGTGCCCACTTAACACGGTCTTCCCTTAAATATAAAAAAAAAACAATGTGAAATGTGAATAAAAAAGATAAAAAATTAATGTCGTGACGAATTATGTGAAAAAATAAATATTATATTTCAATTACTCAGCGGAAAGTATGCTTGAATACGCGTATACCGCTGCACAGCGGTACCAATATATACAAACACATAAAGGTCGACCCGCTTTAAAAAACACTTCTATTTTTTACACCTAATGACGGCTCATTATTTTTGTTTTTATTTTATTAATAAAACTAAATTAAAATTAAAAAATGTAAGTTTTTTTACGAATGCGATTGCGTGGCATTATTGCTCTGCTGTGCAGCAGCAGCAGGAACATATGGAGGTTAGGTGTCCTCCTGAGTCAATTTTATTGTATTATTCTTTTGTTGTTCGTTTATTTAATGCACTTTTGAAAAATTAACAAAAAACAAATGAGGAAAATTGATTTATTGTTTTATTTTATTTAGAATATTTTCATTTATAAGTTTCATCGTTGTTCCAAATTTTCTGATATTTGTATCAAATGTGGAACAAAAGAGTATCATATAGCGAACAGAAAATTTGAAACAACGATGAAACTTATAAATGAAAATATTTTAAATAAAATAAAACAATACATCAATTTTCCTAGTTTGGTTTTTGTTAATTTTTCAAACGTGCATTAAATAAAAGAACTACAAAAAAATAATACAATAAAATTGACTCAGGAGGACACCTAACCTCAATATATTCCTGCTGCTGCTGCACAGCAGAACAATAAAACCACGCAATCGCATTCGTAAAAAACTTACATTTTTTAATTTAATTTCAATTTTAATTTAGTTTTATTAATAAAATAAAAACAAAAATGATGAGCCGTCATTAGGTGTAAAAATTAGAAATGTTATCCAAAGCGAGTCGACCTTTGTGTGTTTGTATATATTGGTACCGCTTTGCAGCGGTATAGACGTTTGAAATCACACTAGCCGCTGAGTAATTGAATTATAATATTTATTTTATTACATAATTCGTCACGATATTAATTTTTTTTATCTTTTTTGTTCACATTCACATTCTTTTTATATATTTCTAAATAAATAAGTCTCCAACAAAATGTAATACAATAATTAATATATAACTTGCTTGACAGCAGATTTCGATAGGGACAACTAATGACATTTGTGATTTGACATCTCGGCCACGATTTGGCCTGTCTGGCAATTTATTAAAGTTGAACGTTAACAAAACAAAAATAATATCATATCATCGTGGATCACTGAAATATGAATATAATTACAACATAGATGGCGTGAAAATTGAAAGAGTAGAGGTAATAAAGGACTTGGGAGTATTGCTTGATGTGAAGATGAATTTCAAATCACAAATCGAGCATGTTGTTGCAAAGGCAAAATCAAGATTGGCTTGGTTAAAATTCAACAGCAGGGATTTTGTCGACCCATGGACTTTAAAACGCCTTTACTTTACATTTATATTACCGATTATTGAGTGTGGATCTGAAGTATGGAATCCACACTACGACAATATGTGCAAAAGAATAGAGTCAATACAAAAACAATTTTTAATATATGCTCTGAGGAGAATGGCCTGGAACGATTTTGGACTGCCAAAATACGAACACAGGCTACTATTTCTGCAAATGATTACTCTTGAGGAGAGACGCAAGATGGCGCAAGTGTCTTTTATTTTCAAAATTATTCACGGAGATTTAAAGTCAACTTATGTTTCAAATAGTATGAAATATTACGATCCAGCACATGATACCAGAGCAACACCACTATTTGATCTACCAATTAGGAGAACTGATTACACAAAATATGAGCCAATAAATTATATGCTTACAACATTCAACGAATTTTATACCAAAAAATTGCAAAACAGTGATAAAAATTTAATTGATTTAGAAGTAAATTTATCAACAGTAAAACTGAGAATAGAGAATTATTTAAAGCAAAGCAGATAAATAAAAGATATTTGTTATGGAAAGTAGAAGTTTTGAGCAGTTGGAAAATTGATTTGTGAAATTTGTATTGTTATTTACATGAAAGGAAAGAAACAATAATTTTTCATATACTATCTCAAAAATGCTTGATAAAAATCAAATTGTATTATATTATATTTATTTAATTAAATCATTTTCAATAAACCACCAAGGCGAAGTAGCGCTGTTCGGTGCATTATTATTATTAAAAAACGATTTATATTCGCAGGATAATTAACTTTTCAAACTGTTCTAACTACTTAATTCGATTTATTTTGATCCAATAAGAAATTCTTGAAAATAATATGACTCGATTTTCATACATACTCACAGAAAAAGTGGAGGCGGTTTTTCCGCAAATTATTGTAGCAACAGCAGAGCTGCAATAAAAATGTGTTTCTTGTAGCTTATTTTGACAGCTACGTACAAGTGTGTGTGTTTTGACATTTTACATTATTTGTAGCATCTGTATAAACTAAAAAACCAATGTGATGTTAATAAAACATTTTAATATTTATTTTTTAAATAATTTTGAAAATGTCATTTTGACAATTTAAATTCGTGATTTCAGAGATGAAAAAAGTGTGAAGAATTATTTTTCACCGAAATTTTCAACCAAACTCGACACAATTGCTCTGCACAAAAACAAGCCGAGATTCTGGAATCAAGATAATCAGAATGAAAGAACTCTCATTCCTTATCATTGAAATCGTGATTGGCATTCGGTCCCTATTCAATAGATGTTACATAGGAAGTTTATATGAAACTCTCGGAGACTCGGTATAGAGCACTCAAAAAGTGAAAAAAATCCAGAACGTGATTTGGGTGATAAGGAACGCGATTTTTTTCATTCTGATTTCACCAGGTGATACAGAAAGTTGAGAAGTATCTGAGAATTGAAGAATTTTTTTTTAATTATTTTGTTCATTTTTCACGATTTTTTATCATTTACATGGGAAGCTTGTATGAAAGAGACACGGAAGACCGCTGAAATGGCAAATGCCAAATATATACGGACCTACGGCACTGCCATTTCAGCGGTCTTCCGTGTTTTTCATGCAATCCTCCCATATAGATGGTATCAGTGTTTTTTTTAGATCATTTTTTTTATCTAGATCAGATTTGAGATCAAAATCTTAGATTTTTGATCTCTGTGTATCTAAGCTTTTATATTTATCTCAGATCGAGATAAATCTAGATTAATCTCATATCTGATCTGAAATATACTTTTAAATTTAAGTCCAAATGGGACTTGGGTAAACAGGTAAACAGCCCTTGTGGAAAATTACTGACTGGCTTTTTTTGGGACGTTTTCACATTAAACCGACTGAGATCGAAGTCATTTTAAGTTGATTTATTTGACTTTATTAGACTATATTAATATAGCGTGTAACGTCCCACGGAACCAAAAATTTGGGAATACACTGAAATTATGGTCTATGTTTGGTTGCAGCAACTCAAATCGCCGTGAAAACTTGTGAATATTATTTTCTTATCAATATAAATAATCTCACAAAGTTTAAAGAAATTTCAATCAAAAATATAGCTCAATGGCTAACCGAAAATTTTGTATGGGAGGTATCCCTAATATGCATTGAAATTTCTTTAAACTCTCAGAATGTAATTTTCTTGTGGAAAAAACAACCTGTGTAAAGTTTCATGTCATTACGCTACCACAAGGCATGACTCCTATACAAAAATATTTTTTTTGTGAATTTTTGTATGAAAAAGTCTGTGAAAAATTGATTTCATCTTAAAACTAACGTCATATTCGGCCCGAATCAGAAAATAATGCTTTTGAGTGTTAAGCTTGTAAATCTTAGATATCTCTCGTTAGATACAGATTTTTGTATCCAGATCCCGATAGATTAGATTTATTATACCTTTTTTCTATTGATCTAAGATCAGATTTAGATTCGATCTATCTAGAAATCTATCTAAAAAATCTCAAGATTTTTAATCTACTCGAAACACTGGATGGTATAAAAAATCGCGAAAAATGAAAAAAATAATTAAATTTTTTTCCTCAATTCTCAAATACTACTCAATTTTCTGTATCACCTGGTGAAATCAGAATGAAAAAAATCGCATTCCTTATCACCCAAATCACGATCTGGATTTTTTTCACTTTTTGAGTGCTCTATACCGAGTCTCCGAGAGTTTCATATATACTTCCTATGTAACATCTATTGAATAGTGACCGAATGCCAATCACGATTTCAATGATAAGGAATGAGAGTTCTTTCATTCTGATTTCATCAGATGATACAGAAAATTGAATAGAATTCGTAAATCGAAGAAAAAAAGATTATATTTTTTTTTTCATTTTTAGCGATTTTTTAAATCTTAATGGAAGGCTTGTATAAAAAACACGGAAGACCGCTGAAATGAATAAAAATTCAACATGATAAAAATGTAAATAAAATACTAACTTGATAGGACTTCCAATAAAACGGGAACTTATCTGCTTTGAAAATAAAACACCACCGCAGCGTAAAAATAAAAGTTCAACATGTTTAGAGTGAAAATAAAAGACCAACATGTTTAGAGTGAATCATGTTGCCCTTTTATTTTCATCTCAGTTTATTCGGTCATTTATTTTTACCGATTTCATGATTGAGATTTTTTTATATGAAAATTTGAGCTCACTTTTGTCCTAACCCATTCAAATGTAGATGGTGTGGCAAAATCGCTATCGCAGACTTATCTACACTTGCACTGACTAATACACATTTAAATACACTTCAAACTAATACATACTAACTGCAATACAAGTAAAATATATTACTTATATTGTACGTAAATTTTGAAATACGCTGTACATCTCATTTGATGTTCATAAACATCAAGTTGTATGTGACTAATAAAGTAATTCTGATTTGTACATAACCTCAATGAATGAATATATTTTAAATGTATTGCAATTTGTATTTTATTAGTGTTTGTCAGTGCAAGTGTAGACAAGCAGCTCTGCTGTTGCTACAATAATTTGCGGAAAAACCGCCTCCACTTTTTCTGTGAGTAGGTATGTTTATATGAAACTCTCGAAAACTCGGTATATGAACACTCGCCCAAATGTCGGACTATTTGTTTGAATTTTCAACTTCAATCTAATATTTAACATTTTTGATTTCATGAAAAAATATCTTTTTATACACAATTTGATGCAGAATTTAATTGTGGTTCCTTTCACGTTTCTCAAAAGATAGTTCTTTTCAAAAATATATTTTTTTTTTTCATTTTTTCGTCATAACATCGAAAATTCCAAATGTCGGATATTCGTCATATTCCATGCATTTTCACTACGAAACTTGAACAACTTCAAGTTTTGACAGCCCATGAACGCACTATTTACATTGAGGTAAACAATACAAAATATTGGAGATAAAATTATTAGATTGATATATTTTTGCTCCATACTTAATTTTATTTATTTTGTAAAATGGCAAAAATATTTTAAAATATTACGTTATTTCACTGATCTATCTAATATTTTTGGTTTGAATTTTACAATGATCCAAATGCGACTTTAACTGGACTTTGATTGGACGATTTATTTCGGAATAATGTTACAGTGAAAAATGGAAAATAAATATAATTGATTTTCTTTATATTTTCATTATTTCTGTTCAATAATTAAACTGAACTATCTACAATTCGCAGACATAATTTTTTTTCTTCAAAGTAGTTATTTATTTATTAAGCCGGTACCGGCTTGTATACAAATGACATAGTTTAACTTTTGACGTGAAAAAGTGATAAAAATGTTTTTTGAACCTAATTTGTGAAAGCAATAATAGATTTTCGATTAAAATTTGGATTATAATAAAGAGATTTGATATTGATCTTTCATAATTTACTTTCAAAAATGAAATTAAAACGATTTTTTTAATTTTTAATTTCAATTCACCTCTTCGGTATTCCGACATTTGGTCGTATGTCGACATTTGGCAATCTACTGTAATGCACAAAAGTATCGAAAAAAATTTCTCAATATTTTTGTGCATTGTACCGAGTCTCCGAGAGTTTCATGTAGCTTTGCCATGTAGCACCAGAAATATGGTCGAAAGACGGAAAAAAATTTCAATATTTTTTTTCAACATGCGTAGTAACAGCAAAAAGAGAGTCGAAAAGACGAAAAAAATCCCTTATATCCTTCATTTTGTATAATGTTTTTTATGCTTATTTTTAAGTAAATGAAATGAGTGGTGTTAGCTCACTCATAATGTGACTTGAGCGAGTAGTGAGTTGCTCTCGCACTTGTTCGGTGAGTGGACAAGCGCACCGTGCATTCGAAAACTCAGCACATTGAGTTACGTATCGCGTTGAGCGTGCATATTATAAGCACTGATTTACTTCAAAAACTATTATTAACATGGGGAGAGGATATCAAACAGACGCCATCTATTTGGACATAGCCAAGGCTTTTTACTCGGTTAACTTAAAATTACTTGTTCAAAAACTAGACATAATGGGATTGAATACGCAGCTGTTAAAATGGATCGAATCTTACTTGTCTGGTCGCAGACAAATTGTAAAGATAGCAGATACCAAATCTGACCCAATCGAAGTTACTTCTGGGACGGGTCAAGGATATCCCATTGGCGGCGCTACTTTGTTCATCATGTTTGTTATTGATCTACCATTCGTCGTTAGCGATTCTTGTATACTTTCATTCGCTCATGATACAAAACTTTCGAAATGTATCTCCTCAACAGATGATTGCATTAATCTACAGAATGACTTGGATCCTGTAGCAGATTATTATGGACGCAATTTATTGAAATTAAATGTAAACAAAACAAAGATCATATCATATCATCGGGGATCACTGCATTATGAATACAAATACAAGGCTGATCGAAAATGAACTGACTTTTTGAATGAAAGGTGTCACTTTTTACAAACTGATATTATTTTTGAGAAGTACTACCCTTCAAACCTCTACATCACAAATTCGAACCAAATCCGTCCACTGAGCTAAAAGTTACAGAGCTTGAAAGAGACCAACCTCTGTCTTTTTTCGAAAAACAAAAAAAAAACGAAATTCGATTTGTGGAATAAACACCATTTTTTGGGATAGGACTTGTGGTGCGTTGTATTTGCCAATTAAGATGGAATGCATGAATAGAGCAGCAGCGTTAACTCTTCTCCTAACCAGAGTTTGAAGGTCAAAATCACAGCATCCCTCTACATATGGACGTAGAACGTAATTGCTTACTGATCGATTGTAATAGTCGCCATTGATCAGCATAACAAATTGTTTTTGAGTGCGCTCAACAAATTTCTTGTGTGTTCTGAGCGATGGTGACCAAACTGTACTCGCAAATTCGAGATTTGAACGGGCAAATGCAAAAAACAGGATCTTTATGATGTCCTTATCGAAATAGTAACT